GCATTACCTATTATTTGTACATATATGATTTGTACATATGTCGATATATGTATTTATAATTTATTTAAAAAAAAGGAAATAAATATTTGTTCAGCTTTTGTAAAGGTGTTGACGTAAATCGCCATAAATTTACTGCTTACAATTTTTACGAATTCGAAACGCTTATTAAATTTTTTACTGTTAATAAATATTAATTTGTATATGGGAGGCTTAAAAGTAGTTGCCTTCGGCAGCGATACAAGAATTATAGCGATTTTCAACTTTTTCATGCCATTTTTGTACAACGATTTGCATTTTTCCATAAAATAGAGTTTAGTTAGTTTCCGCTATTACCTGTTCATTATCGCAAAATTTCTAAGGGTCACTTGATGGCAGGAACCATTATTTAAACAGCAGACTGCTTCGTCATTCCATGTTTTGTATTCGGTTTATCGAGTGCAGTCTGCATGGAAGACTGTTCTGAGCGAATTAACGGAGCCCATGCCTCATTCATTGTTCCATATGGATGCAAAATTCCGGTTTAATAGAATTAAAAAGCTCCAAACATTTTTTTTGATTGATATTTTCGTCCAGTATCTTTTGACTTTCACTGGGTACATCGTTTTTGTTGCTCATATGACCTGAACACAAATTAGCATACCAATTGCGATTGGTTGTTCGCCTGGCACAGAGTCTGAATATCACTCATCAAGACTATTTTTGGTATCAACAACGCATTTAAAAAAATAATAGTGTTTCATTAAGAAGCATTAAGTATAAATATACGAACTTTTCAGCCAGCGTGTAAGGCCAAACTAATTGACTAATACTAATAACTGCTTTAGATGGTATTAACCTTATAATTCAGTTATCATTTTTAAATAGCAGTTTGGTGCTAATTTATACGCAAAGCGTTGAATTTCAATTATTTAAAAAAGTTGTTAAAAAGGCGAAAGATAATGTGACTAAATATGACAGTATGACAGTGACATACTAAATGACAGTATTTACCTCATAAAAACAGAGCTAAATTTTGGCGTTTGGTATATGCCTCTATACAAGCTTTTTGAGAGCAGAAATAACTCTCTGAGAGGAGCTTGGAAATTGTCTACATTTTATCAAAACAACTACTTTAACTTCTCTTTTACACAGTTCATACATAAAGATAATGTGTTGATATTTATGTACTTAACTACATTCTACAATTTCATTGAGATCATTTTGAATTTAGAAAAATATATGAAAACTATTTACATGTATAGTTATTGCAGATGTTCAGAAAGGGATTTTTTTAAATGAATAATGCACATGCATGACATATTTTATATACAAATGTTTTTATTACTTATTGTTGAGAAATTGTAGACTAAGCGTCGTCAATAAGTCTATAAAGTTTTTATTGCTCTTTTTCTTCTATTGCTTGGTCATTCAAAGAATATATGGAGCTGTTAAGCGTCTTTTTGTTTTCTCGATGAAAGTCTATTAGCCATAAATTACTCAGAAATATTCCTTTATTAGATTTTTTAGATACTGTTTTTACATTTTAAAACGAACTTTGGTGGCATACGTAACGTTGAAACAGTTTACGTTTTTTCCATGTGGCCGATTCATTTTTATCGCAAAAAGTTTGTACGACGTTGTTTATAATTAAAAGGTGATTAAGAAAATTACCTTCGAAGGTATTGTAAAATATTGATTCACAACACGTCTATAATTAAGTGAAATTAATAATCGGGTGGCATCAGTTTAGATTAATTTTGTTGACAGAATGTTATCATGCGATCTTTTGTACCAGCTAATTCCCAACTGTCATTTTATTAAAGAAATGATGTGTAATATATATACAGTACATTAAATTATGATATTATATATAATTAGTATGTGAAATAATCGATCCCCTTTAACTCTCATGAGATTTAACGCGGATTATTTTCCAAGACAACCGTACAATCTTCGAAGAAATAGTAGGTAAATAGATGGGACCACTTCAGTGTATACATAGCTGCCATACAAACTTACCGATCAAAATCAAGACAAAGATCTTTTAATACCTATATTTTGGTATACAAAATTCACAGCAGTATTACAGCTTCTCGGTGCAGCCGAAGTTAACGTTTTTTTTTGTAGTTAGTATGTAATTTTAATATTTTATGATTTATCAACGGATAGAAATGTAGATTGTGAATGATATTGAATGCTGCTGTAACTAAAGCGAAAGGTCGATTTGACCTCAAAATCGTCACAAAGAAACCGCCTTACTATTTCGAGGAATTCGCTAAGGTTATAAAGCGTAAAGTAGACCAGCTTTTTCTTCAAGCAATTTAACGTGCTATAAAATATATATGAAAATAATTATTCAATGTCTTTGGTGTGTTTTATCAATCAATATGCGTTAAAGAACTAACCGTTAGCACTTTACTTCCGTTCGCCTTGCAACAGATCACGTTTCATTGTTTCTGCTAATCCATGTTGCCATACCAGTTGACCTTTAATTGAAAATTGCACAATGGCAACAAACACTTTCTATTAAGTGCTTTTGTTTCATTTGCTTTGCATACTATGTCTATACATACATACATATGTACATATGTAAAAGTTTAGAGACAAATACAAAATTGCTAGTAATTCATTGTATTGACTTGCGTTTGTTGCTTAATCGCCTGCCATCGTTGGAGCACAGTTCTTTTTAGCTTTGGCGTGTTTTATTTTTCGAAATGCAATATAACTGTATTTAGTGAAATTGTAAATCGTTTCAATTCATTTTATTCAATTCGATTTGCAAGCACCGTATATGCATACATATGTATATATGTAATAAAAATGCTCGTGTTTGCTTTTCTCGAAAGTCTGGAATTTTAATTCGCATTTAAATTCAAGCATATAACCCGACATACATATATGCATACAAGTATATGGTATATGCGTATGTATCCATAAAATAAATATATATATTTGTAAGCACAAGTAAGTGTGTGCAGTGTATTTAAAAAATTTGCAATTGAGTTTCACGCATTAAAGGCAAAATTTACAATACTTTTGTACGCATCAGGTGGTGTTACACTGGGAAAAATACATAGCTTATTCTAACATATACGACGCTTGTGAAAGGGGAAAAGAGAAAAAATTAAATAACCAAGTACAATATTTATTTTGTGTTATTAGTACTGTTGAACCAGTTTATGTAATTGCAAGTATTTCTGTATTCCTGTGTTATGGCGATTTGCACTGTTTTAAAGCATGCCGAATATGTGATATAGTTGTTACGAGTTCGCATATTTTAAGATTAAATTTATTTTTTATACTCTTGCAAAGAACGTAAAATAAAATTTAATGCATTTCTCTTTCTTCCGCACAATTTTGACTCGTTAGTAATACTCTTCCAGCACGCCATTCCCCTATTATTAAACGCCAGACTGTTGTAATATTCGTAAAATTACTTAACTTTCGTAGTTTCGAACATGGATAAGTCGAAGTCGAATAACAAGTCAATTCAGAAAACTTGGAATTGTCTTTATCTTAGAAATTGCTCCTCGCCGGTCTTTTATAGGCGATATGCAAAGAAAAACTTAACTTAATGCAAAGAAAGACTTCCTGACTCTTGGAAAATCTGAGAGATATTTACCTGAAACTCTCTTTCTCACGCTGTAGTATTAACATTTTTCTACTTTCCACCGTCCAATTTTGTCTGCTTTGGTAGAAATTTTCCAGCTTAAAACCCCACCATTCCTTTATTAAAAACCAGATTTCTATAGTATTCGAATAACTGATAAAATTTCGTTATGCGAAAGTTGAAAATAAATTCAGAAAAATTGATGTTGCCTTCTGCTAAAAATTAGCACTTTATGAGGCGACTTCTCGAGGTTATGTTATATTGGTATTGTCTTTATCTCAGAAATACCTAGAGAAATCGAAGATTACTCCTCCTGGCATTTTTCTCACTCAATAAAATCGGATGAAATATCATATTTTGAGGAAGGTAATCTTTTTTTTTAATCTTCCGAAATCTGAGGAGTCCTGGGTAATGTCATCAGAATTGGTAAAAAATCTTGAAGCATAGCTAGTAAATTTCGTTAAACGAAGATAGCGCTTTCGAATGTTGAAAAATGTTAGAAAAGCCAACATCAGAATAAGAATCTGGATGTATACAACAACAAGATACCATTAAACTTAGAATCAATTTATTGAAAGTTAGTACCGTTTTTCAAATATTAATCAATTACAGGTTGAAACTGTCGCACAATTTAGCGAATGACGCCGAAACCGAAAAATCAAAATTCACTGAAGGCAAATTGAGTTAAGCCTTGGCGTTGACGATAATAAAAATTTGTTTTGAAATACGTGAAAATGCAGGTTTCTTTCTTTCTGATCCCTTCTTTTACCGTTATGTAAGCTAAATCTGAAACATAAAAATGCTTTCAAGGGCATTGAATATCATAGCTCAGTGTGTGGCCTTACCGGAAATGAATCATAAATCTAAAAATCATAATACAGCATATATTTATGAATATAGGCAATCATTCAATAACATATGTCGGCTTTAGCATAAATCGTCAATTATCAATTATGCCGTGCGGACTGTCTAATTGGCAGCGAAATTTAAGCTAAGCATATTATAATTACTAAGTCGCGTACAGGCTAGATGTAAGTTAGATAGAAGCTAGATAGTAAGCGTAGTGATAATTGAGCTGAAGAATTTTAGTTTATCACCGCCAGTCACACACAGTCATACACAGCGTAATCATATTGACAAGCCGTAAATTAGCAACAAAAAATAGTCAAAACGACGATAATTATTTTACGGTTTGACGGCAATTGAACACACACACTTCTTAACACGTGAGAATATATGATGAGATTGTATTATCAACTTATTAGATGAAATTATTTGCTGTTAGCAATATTCAAAACATAACAAAAAGAACCGTTTTTTTCATAAGTGTTATATATATTTAGAAAACTGCTGATATCTACAAACAATTCACAGTAAAACTCCATTTTTCTTCTATATTTCACGCTTGCAGGGAAGGCAACCATCCCGATGATTATTCTCGTGGTCTCACCTATCGCAAATTGCTGGAAGAAGTCTGTCGCTTCGCCAACGTACTTAAAGATCATGGCATTAAGAAGGGTGATCGTGTCTCAATTTATATGCCGATGATTCTTGAACTGCCGATCGCCATGTTGGCATGTGCCCGCATCGGTGCTGTACATTCCATTGTTTTCGCCGGCTTCTCATCCGATTCGTTGGCGGAACGTATGTTCGATTGCCAGGCAAAGGTTTTGATCACCGCTGATGGTGCTTGGCGTGGCGAGAAACCATTGTACCTGAAGGCACTCTGTGATATCGCATTGGAGAAGGTCGAGGAGATGGGTCACACGGTGGAAAAGTGTATTGTGGTGTCACATTTAAAACGTGTAACACCCTGTGTTGAGGATCATGTCGAACAGGATATACCGTGGACGGATGATCGTGATTTCTGGTGGCACGAGGAGATGGAAGACAAAGAGCCAGCCTGTTATCCTGAATGGATGGATGCCGAAGATCCACTTTTTATGTTGTATACAAGTGGTTCCACTGGCAAGCCAAAGGGTGTTTTGCATACTACAGCGGGTTATTTGTTGTATGCGGCAACAACATTCAAAATTGTCTTCGACTATAAGCCAGGTGATATTTATTGGTGCACAGCTGATATTGGCTGGATCACCGGACACACGTATGTGGTGTATGGACCGTTGGCTAATGGCGCTACATCGGTGATGGTGAGTGTTGTGGTTTTCTGGAATGTTTTAGCACATATTTATAAGATTTTCTATCAACTCTTATAGTTTGAGGGTACACCTTTCTATCCCGATAATGATCGCTTTTGGGCAGTGATCGACAAATACAAGGTGACACAATTCTACACCGCTCCAACAGCTATACGTGCGCTTATGAAGTTCGGTGAAGCACCGGTTTTGAAGCACAACCTAAACGGTCTGAAGTGAGTTCGAACAAATTTTGAGAGCTTTAGCTTTTAAAAATATATTAATGGCCTCTTTTTTTTACTAAAGGGTACTTGGCAGCGTGGGTGAACCCATCAATCCAGAAGCTTGGCTGTGGTTCTATCGTTATATTGGCAAAGAGAAATGCTCGATTGTTGACACATTCTGGCAGACAGAGACTGGTGGTCACGTGATCACACCCATTCCCGGCGCTACGCCGATGAAACCTGGCTCAGCGGTAAGTTATATTTGCTGTTTTATTAATAAAACAGTTTAGATATATGTATACCTATATATATTTTTTTTTGTTCTGCAGTCATTCCCATTCTTTGGCGTTAAGCCGACCCTGCTCGATGAGAGTGGTATTGAAATCAAGGGCGAAGGTGAAGGCTATTTAGTATTCTCACAACCATGGCCGGGTATGATGCGCACGTTGTTTGGAAATCATGAACGTTTTGAGAGTACATACTTCTCGAAATTCCCTGGCTTCTATTGCACTGGAGATGGTGAGTTGGCTTTTGGGTTTCCCATACAAAAATTTATTGTATTTTAGTATTTATGAGTAAATCTTGCACTAGGAATAACCTTTTTCGACACCGTTTCCAAGACATTTGGGTACATGTAAGTAACCGGAACGGATACGGATTTTTATCCGGCCAAGAACTGTAGCATTCCCCCAAAATACCCTCGGAATGTTTTCAGCCGCTACAGCAACAACCAACCCTTTTGTTCTTTTATGGTTATGTTCTTCTATAAGATATTGATCTATAAACTCATTTAATACTCATATATTCTTTTCATACTATGCTATCTATTAATGGGATCCATAATAACTTCCATAATTTCTCCCTGCAGTATCATTTTACATTCCCATATAAGTAGAACTCCTCTTTTGGTATTCTTAGGTATTTTAAGATCTCGATTCAGACCTCAAAACTTATTTTGGTTACATTTTTAACAAGCCGACTCCACGTGAACCTTAAAGTAGTGAACTATGTTCGTGCTATTATCGGCATTTTATTGGAAAATCCTTAACCTTGTAGTCAACTTTCTTATTAAAACCCCTCATGGACTTACATAGCTGCCCTTGATGAAGGCTTCCTAATTCTCAAAGAAGTGAATGTTATCTTTGAGCAGTCTTTGAGCTTTTCGTATCATACTTCACGCTATAGAACGGTCACGATTTGAAAAGCAACATAGACTCTTTAACTACAATTTCACAACAACAAAAAAAACTGAAACTCCTAACGTTGCTAGACGGGTCCATAGGTCTCGCTGATTTTTTTTTGCAAAATATTAAGATACTTTTTTAATTCATATTTTCAATAATTCCTCAACTCATTTTAGGTGCACGCCGCGACGCTGACGGTTACCTCTGGATCACCGGACGTGTCGATGACATGCTTAACGTTTCTGGACATCTTATGTCCACAGCCGAAGTGGAATCTGTGCTTACCGAACATCATCGTGTAGCCGAAGCTGCTGTCGTCTCACGACCACATGCAGTGAAGGGTGAATGCCTCTACTGCTTCATAACACCCAATGAGAATGAAACTTTCGATGCCAAGCTCGTATCGGAATTGAAGAAATTGGTACGTGAACGTATCGGACCTTTCGCTATGCCCGATGTGGTACAACATGCACCCGGTTTGCCCAAAACACGCTCCGGCAAAATAATGCGTCGTGTGCTGCGCAAAGTAGCGTTGAATGATCGTAATGTTGGCGATATCTCAACGCTGGCCGATGAGAGCATCGTGGATCAATTATTTAAGAATCGACCGGCGGAAAAGTAAATAACAGTAAAATGAGTAATGTACAACTGCGACATGCATACAAACAAAAGTAGGTACAATGGTGTATGTTTGTATGAAAAAGATACAAAAAATTTTAGAAATAATTTGTAAAAAGTAGGAAATGGAAAAGACGCCGACGTCGATGTGCAACGATACAGTTAGTGGGCAGCGAATTGGTGCTAAGCATTTAAAAATATGCTTGACAACAAACAAAATCAAACACAAAGAGCGATGAAAATCCTCACAAGTCACAATAGATCAATACAAACCAACATTTTTTAGCTGTTTTTTTAGATTTTATGTGTATCGTGCAAGCTCACTCGTATTATGCATATGTACATATGTATGAATAATGAATAATAATAATGAACTCTCCAAATATTTTAAGTGTGTAAGTAAATAAGTTTTCTTTAAGTTCTAAACACCATAGCACAAATTTTGGTTTCCAGGTTTCCAAGATTTGGTTCTTTCGAAAAGTTTAGGCGCATAATAAGAGGTGATTTTTTTTTTTTAATTAAATGTCATTAACAAATTCAACTGAGACAGACATTTCATATAAAAACATTAAAAAATAATAGATTAATCAGAATTATGAGATGAGTTAATTTAGCTTAAGATGCTAAGCTCACATTCCATAGAATGAAGTTCAAATCAAAAATATTCGAGAGAAACATTTTTTTTGTTTTTGCAAAGAAGCGTATTACCAGCTTTGCGAGGCTGAGAATATGCTCAGCGAACTACAGATACTATTGTACATATGACTTATTGTATAAACGCTTTTGAATCGAATTCATTAATATGTATCCTAACACCTAAATATTTTTAAGTAAATAATTTAAAAGAAAATTTTGGCAACAAAAAAAAAACATTAAACAAATTGATAACACAAGTGGCAAGTTTTTAAGTTAAAGAAAAATTATTTTATGCGCAGAAAAGTTTTAGCCAGTAATGCCTGCCTCAAATGGTTGTAAAAGTTTTGACTTCTCTGATTATGCGCCTGTCAACTGTATGTACATTTGTAGCTTGCTATTCCAGTATATTCTTAACACATAATTTACTTGCAATCTATATATACATATGTACATATATACATAGTATATGGCATATGTATATTTGTAGCATTAAAAAATAAATATGTAATTATGTAGTAAGGAAAATATAATTTTATAGCGAAGGCAAATGTTAAACAAGGAATCAAATATACCACAAATACATATAAACATACATAAAAAATACATATGTATTTATGAAAGTTTGTAGTAAAAATCATTAATTTAGTGAATTATCTCATATACATATGTACGGCATATATTTCAAATACATACATATGTAAGTAGTTTTTAAATTAGTTTCTGTACAACTTCTTAGCGCATTGGTTTACAGAAAGCATGTTTAGCAATTAGTTTTTAATATAACACCATGTTGATATGAATGCACTCGTTTTTTTCGCTTATAATTCTTTTTATTTAATGAACTTTGCTTTTTACTTTGGAATTATTGTAGATTTTTGATGTGATAAATGCGTATATATTATATTAATTTAAAGTATAGAAATATATATTAAAATATATTGTTATGTAGATTTTTATTATGTTTAGAAATGTATGGACTTGTAAGAAATGTCAGAAATACATAACAAAACAAAAAATAATAGTAAACATTTAAACACAAAAAATTTTAGTTTTCATACCACACTGAAGACAGGCTCGCTTAGTGTATACATGTGCATATATATATATATATAAGCATACTTATATATATATGTATATATATGCATGCATGTGGGTAGACATTACGTCTGCGTAAAAGGTAAGTAAATTGCTTATAGTTACTTAGGCTTAATTTTAAATCTGATTTTCGGGATTAATTTTTGTTTATTTTTCAAACCGGTATTTTAATTGATTAATATTTTAAAATTCTTAGGATACGTTTTTTTTACTTTTTTTATTCCGATATTTGGGATTAGAAATTTGATAACTGTTTTAAATAAAATGTTTGGTATTACAAATTTAAACAAAATTTAATTGAAATGTCAATTCAATTAGTTTTAATGCATTATTTGCAACAATCCTTCATATCTTGTGTTTTAATGTGTTCTAAAATACGCGTTGGAATTTAACTTATAGTCGTTGTGCTCGATTAGTAGTATGTTCTCGATTATTAGTGAATAATTTTTTTTCTTCTTTATCATTTTGAATTTAGCATCCTCTTTTATAAAATTTTTTTATATATAATTATACATTAATACCAATTTATTGACGAACTTTTTAGAAAAAACCAAAAAACTTTAAAAATAAAATAGTTGGATTCCCATACTAAAATTTAGAATAATAATCATTTATTATTAGTTCAAATTTATAAGTTTATTAAAATTTAAAATAATTTATCCGATTGTTGATTAATAACATTTATAGAATTTAAATTTTGTGAATATAAGTAAATGTATTTAAAAATATTTTAACCAATTATATATCGATAAAAAATAGTTACTTCCCAAACTAAAATTTAGAATACTATCATATTGTAATATTTTTTTACATTTATTAGACAGTTTAAAATAATTGGTTCGATAAATTTTTAGCTAATTGCTATAATCGATAACATAGTTTTTTGCAACCCTTTAATTTGTATAGCACAATTTTTGTATAAACTTTAAGCAACACATGCAAATTGTGCTATACAAATTAAAGGGTTGATCGTTTATCGATAAATACTATTGATTATAAATATACACACATAAAAAAAATTAATTTTTATATTTTCATTATTATTGTTTTTTTTTTTAATAATGTTTATATATTTATTATTGTTTTTTTTATATTAAGTTTTGTTATAATTTTTAATATATTAAATTATTTTTTTATATTTTTTATTATTTTTATTATTATGTATTTTATAATTTGTTATTATATTATTTTTTTATATTCAGTATAGACACAGTGGAGCAACACTTATTAATAGATTTTCATTTGATTATATTACCTACAATACTTCTTATGATTCGGAAAATAAAGGGATATTATAATATAAAATTCTGGATAAGAAACTCACTCAAAAATATTTCGTTCCCCAAAGTTGTATTTAATAAGTATTTATTTGGAAAAGGCATCACTATCTACAAAAACTTTTTTTTAACATATTATGACAGTAGATTTTACATACAAATAATTTATAAATTTAATTTCTTAATGATATCTAGCAGAGACATACTTTTTCCTTTAAGGCACCATATTTAAAAGTATAAATGAGTATAAACTTATATCACTTAAAAAAAGTTGATTGAAAAATATGTAAACTGCAAATAAAGGCCATCCATAAGTATATATAAACATACATACTTAAAGAAATATATATATTTTGAGCAGAATATATAAACTTGTGGCTTCCTAAATCCAACTGGTATATTAGTGAAAAATATAAAGTTGAATTGGCTGTAACCACAACCACACAAACATGCGTACATGCAAACATATCGTTAGGCTGTAAGTTGTGATTATTTAACATATCAGTAGGGATAAGAGAGACTTATGTAGTTCTCAAATTGTGAATAAGTCTGCAAATAAAGAAATAAAGGCGATTTTCAAGAGGGAGGCAATTAATGACTGCTTGTTGGACTGCACAGACACCTGTTTGACTGTGTTGAATTTACATTTTCAATGATGCAAACTATTTGCAAAAGACTCGCAAGCAACAAATACATATCACGTAAATTACACTTGTTTATTATGACTATATAGCAAATAAATATTGTTTACACACTTTAAATGTATGCAATGTCGAAAAGTAAAATCAAAAAAAACTTTGCACATTGTAGCCCTCCCGGAAGAATGCTTTATAACAAAGTTACACTAGTTCTAAGGCATGCTTCATGACTTTAATCTAAATTTACATATTTAAAAAATATTATTGAAATCTTAATTTATTACACAAGCATGCTGTTGTTGTTGTTCGTTTCAACTGGCTGTAGAGCTATTGAAAAAATTTAAAAAGTTGTTTTAATTGTGAAAAAAAGCCGAGAAGCCAATCTATATACACACATACATATGTACGTATAATAAATGTGAATTCCGTTACTTCAAAAACTTAGTATTTATTTAAAAAAAGTGTCTAATTGTTGCAAAATTATATGATGATAATGACAATGGTTATTCAACACTAACGCATATACAAATAGTATGTATGTAAATTAATGTATAAATATTTAGCCGAAAATAAAAGAGCAATAAAATGCAAAATGTAAACAAAAATTTTAAAAAGGGTTATAATTTGTTTTTATAAAGGAGTTGTATCAACTTGGTAATTTGAAAAAATCGATTTTTGTTATATGTATATCGAATGTACAATACATACATATACAAATTTGAGAATATTATCCGAAAATTTGAAGTGGATACGGCAAATAGTTGTGCACATGACTGTATTTGTAAGAATTTGTTAAGTTAGTGTAATCGCCTCCCAAAACTTTATACGCGTTTTTTCAAAACGCTGCTTTCCGAGCCGGTGAAGAAAATTTCTTCGAAATGACTGGGCCGATCGACTTGAAATTTTCACACGAACTTCGTGATATATACAATGATCAATGGAAGAAAATTTTTATTACTAATTTTTTTTTTTATTTTCATTTTAAGCATTTTTGAAGAGTAAATTTTTCACAAAAAACTACTTATTTTTTAAAAGCCGCCATTTTGTCAAAAATCAATATTTTGATTAGTTCTACGATCATTATCTGCATACATCTATTTATTATTATATTTTTGTTTTTGGATTTGAGATAATTTTAAGTAAAAAAATCTTCATCAACGTCAGACACCTATTTTCGGAGGTCTTCTTGGAGATAGGCTACGGGATCAAGCGAATGCAAATTTTTCAAAATAAATCATAGATTATTGAGGTAGATAAATTTGTTTAAATGCACATTAGTTTTACTTATTTATTTATTTTAAAATGCACTTTTCTGACTTGCAAGTGGATATAACCACTTAATTGAAACGTTGAACTTGGTTGTGTGTAAAAGTCTTCTAATTTGTTTAAAATGTGACAATGAACAATAACACGTAAGAGTTCATATGATCATGATAAAAAGCAACTTCTCAAAACATGCAATAAGTAAATTAAAATTTAATAATATAAGCTACAAATATTAGAAAATAACATAAAAATTAACAATATGTAAAGTAAAATGTGTTATCAATTGATTATCGATAATCGAGTGCAATCGACTGCTCATAATTGCTTGTTTACATATTTGCGTGTCAAACGCAATGAGTTTGACAAGATCAGCTGTTCAGGGCACGTCACAACAGCATATTTTTGTTAAACCAAAAGCTAAATATAATTTTCTGTTGTGTACTAAACATTAATTTAAAAATAAAAACAGCTAAAATGAAGTGTGCGGTTTTAAATTGTTCAAGTCAAAGCTGTCAAAAGGAATCTTGCAGTTTCTTTAATTTTCCTGCTAATGAAGAGTTGTCAAAGGAATGGGTGAAATTCTGTGGGCGCAAAAAAGTTTTCAATCCGCGGACAAATTACATATGCATGAAACATTTTAAAAAGGAGGACATCGAAAACGGAGTCGAGTATGAAATGGGTATACATCATTTATTTACAAATTTTTCAAAGTAAATTATATATAATTTGATAAAAAACAACATAGGTTTCGCGAAAAAACGCATACTTAAGCGCGGTGTTGTACCAACTATTTTCAAAGTGGAGTTAAGCGATGCCGAGCGTAAGGAAAAAGCAATGCGAAGAGAAAATAAAAGAATAGTGAACGAATTAATTAAGCAATATGATGCTGAACATAATACTGCAGGTAATGCAAGTTTAATTAATTTTGTAAAATCATGAATTAAAAATTTGGTAAATATTAAAGTAGTAGTGCTCGAAGAAACGAAGATGGCATCAGTAGAGACCGTTGATTTAACAAACAGTGATGCTGCTTTATTGGATATGAATAATGCTGTCGAAACTCCAACATCGCTTGAGCCATTCTTCGAAACATATAGAACTCCATTTGAGGAGATTGAAGACTTAGAAATGAAGTTGTAAGTACGGCATAAAATAAAATATTTTTGAAAAATGTAAAATTATAATTTCTATGTAGAGAAAAACAGCAACAAGAAATTGAAGAGCTACGCAAAGAAAATAAAAAGCAACAAAAGGAAATCGTAGCGTCCAAACTGGAAATAGAACTTTTAAAGCGCAAATATACATGCGAGCTAAAATTTTTGGAAAAACAAGTAACGACGGCACAAAGTGAAAAGACAAGTATAGAGATGAAATTGGTAAAGATTTTTTCAAAAAAACAGTTGGATATATTAAAGTCTGACGCGAACAGAACACATTGGTCTATAAGCGATGTAGAACAAGCTAAGTTTATATATAACAAAAGCCCCAAAATCTATAACTACTTATATAATCGAGGTTTTCCAATACCTGCGGTGCGCAAAGTAAGAGCATGGTTGAATACGAAAGTACCAATAGCGCATTTGAGGGACCACTGTTATACTTCAGAATTGTTGGAATAAGCTTATTATATGTATATGCAGTATATATAATTAAAACTTGTTTTTATAATAATATATAATTAAAAATTCCTAAGTTTCAGTCTAGTACTAAGAAATTATTAAAAAAGAAAATTTGCAAAAATCAATCATAAAAATCGAAAAAGTTCATAAAATAAATCGAAAATGGCAACCCCGTATCATTCATACGCAGCGCTATTACACTCAAACACTTTTAATTTTTTTTTATTTGTCATATTTTTGCCGGCAGTAGTGGAATATTTCCGTTCTCCAGCTTTTGCAATTAGTTTTCTTAGTCATTTCCGTCAGTTCAGTGCGAATATGCATATATTATTCATTTAACTGCTGTCGTGGTTATTACTTAATTAAATTAAACATATAAATTTTTGCTGCTAATTTCTTTCAAGTATTGTGAAGCAAGTTATTTGCAGTGTCCTTTTCAACGGCGTCGTTACGCAGTTCCTATTTGCTACTCAAACGCTTTGCAAATCATCAGTGCATTTATTCATCGTTTAATTCCGTATCCTGTCAATTTATACATACAAATTACATTTGGAGAAGTAAAAATATAAGAATGGGTGATTGCAGTGTGGATTTGAATAAGTGCTTTGAGGTTGTCTCACAATTGGTGGACAAAGCAGGTGCGGTAAGTTTCCAAAGGCTGTGCTGATTTCAAAGTTTTATTATTATGTCATGATTGTTTATACTGAAATGTTTACGCATATACATATTTCTGTATGTATGTATATCGATTTTTATACGATTCAATACAGTTGGTGGCAAAACGTAATGAAACACGACAAGAGTTCGAAGAAAAGGCGAACGATATTGATTTGGTTACTGCCACAGATAAAGAGGTGGAACAGCTGTTGATAAATGGTTTGCTAGATTCCTTTCCCGACCACAAGTAAGACAAAGTAACCACAAAGTGTAAATTTTGTATTTCATAATTAAATTATCAACTTCACTTCAGATTTATTGGTGAGGAAGAGAGCGCTGCTGGCGGCGCACCAAACAAGCTAACAGATGCGCCCACCTGGATTATTGATCCAGTTGATGGCACCATGAATTTCGTACACTCCTTTCCACACTCATGCATTTCAATTGGTTTGAAGGTGAATAAAGTCACCGAAATTGGTATTGTTTTTAATCCAATGCTGGGCCAACGTTTCAGTGCGCGTCGTGGCCAGGGCGCTTATCTAAATGGACGTCGTATACACGTTAGCGGCCAGAAGGAATTGGGCAAATCTTTAGTTACATCTGAATTTGGTACATCACGCGACACGGAAAAGTTAAAAGTCGTTTTCGAAAACTTCCAGAAAATAGTGCCAAAGGTGCATGGGTAGGTTGGCAATTCAGTTTTCGAGTTGAATTTTGTTTATAAACGATATTGTATTATCTATGTTTAATAGATTTCGCATGTTGGGCGCTGCCGCACTCAATCTCTGCATGGTTGCGCTTGGCGCGGCTGATATTAATTTCGAATTTGGCGTACATGCTTGGGATGTATGTGCTGGCGAATTGTTAGTGCTTGAAGCAGGCGGCGTTGTTATTGATACCTCAGGTGACAAATTCGATATTATGTCAAGACGTGTTTTGGCTGCATCCAGTGAAGAATTGGCACAAGAATTTGCTAAACACTTGACACAATTCTGTCCACAACCACGGGATGATTAATTCCATATGATATTAAAAAGAGTTAAAGGTGATGCAAAAAAAAACATGTAGGTTGAAGTGAGTAGTTGTTTAAAAATTATACATTAACATACATTTATTTTTATGTAAAAAAATTGTAAATTTTTTTTAAAAAATAAAAAAACAATACAGATTTTACAAACTATTGCTGGATCCAATTGTTTTGAAAGTTTAAATAAATGTTTTTAAAAATGAATAAATTTTTCATTATAAATTATCGCTGCACTGTAAGTTCCCTCTGTAGTTACGCGCAGAAAAAGTATACTGGATTATAGAATGTTTGTATACATGTAAGATTAGCTAATTGTTGTATGTTAACATACGTACATACTTACACATTTATAAGTAGGTGATTAGCGTGGTAAGTGCATAACGCCTACGCCTCAATTGGTAGTTATCAAGTAGTCGTCAAATTGTAAAAAATTCGAATGCTTGATAAATATTCGTTTAAATCGCGAATAACATTACAATAAATCTTAGAAAAAGTAAGACCTTTAAAGTTTCTTGCAATAAAACAGTTTCCTCTTTATTTTCATATTCATATTATATATTCTTTCACAGTTTTAATTTCACCATATTTATCAATATCTCTACATATGTATGTATGTATGCATGTATGCCGATATCAGTTTCAATATATTTAACTAAATGTGTCTAAATTTTCAGAATTAAAGAAATGTGTCGAATACTATTTAGTTTACGCTTTATGGTTTTAAAATCAGCAAATCGTTTATATAATTGTTATTTTTTTTAATCATATTATTGAAATAGCTCCCACTATTACCATACAATTTCATTTATTTTAATTATTGCTGTTAGTAAACTACTACATTATATTCTATTAGAAATGCTTCACCTGCACTTGTTTTTTCATATTTGTAAATAAATTATGTTTGTGTGTACGCGTATACCATACATATAAATATGTACGCGTAAGTTTAACGTTTAAGTGTATTATCTCTTTCGTTATCTATCCATAAATAGTTAAAAAGAGTAAATTGAACTACTTCAAGATCGAGTAAACATTTAATTATTTATTTATTTTTGGTTTTCACAGCAAAAGCGAAGAGTAGTTTAAATTTACACGCATATATAATAGTATATATGTATGTACTTGCAAATGTTGTACATAAACATTTAATTTTTTATTTCCTTATTATTCTATTAGATAAGTAGATTAGAATAGTACTGCAAAACCTTACATTGCCTCATTACATTACATTTGAAAATGTTGAGTTTATTTGTTTTTTAGGAAGAAGAGCAATATTTTAAATTATATGTATATTTGTGTTATTTAAAATTCATCTTTATATTGTATGTATACACACTTAAATAATTAAGGAAACGCATTAAGTGATTTGTGCTATATAATTTTAAATGTATGACTATAAATACATCCATTTATATATATTATTTTATATATACATATTATATATATATATGCATATTTTATGAGTTTTTAAGTTACACCATAAAACCGATTATGTTATGATAACCGTATGTATATGTATAAATCTACTGCCAAACTGTATATATGTCGATATTTTCATATCTAATACACATTCTGTATATATTGTAGATCTAGAACACATCTTCTATAACTAGATTTTATCTTAAATTCTATATTAATGTGCCGTTTTCACACATTTTAATGGAATTTTCATAAAAAATTGAAAAATTTGACACTCTTATATGTTGTTGTTTTTAGTATAATTATAGTAGCGCCACTACATAGTATACTGTTCGTGATCATTCATTGTCATCACTGTATAAATGTAAATTTATTTTAAGTAAATAATTATATTTGAAAATTATGATCTGAGTGATGATGAACTATTATGGCATTCAAACATGATAAACAAAATGCTTTTATTACGTTTTGCCGATTTAATCACTGGGAATTGAGTTGGTTTTCTTTTATTTAAAATCACAAAAAAAAAAACACTTACATACACAAATCCTTTTTATTCTTTTGAGATCCCACACAAAAAAATTATAATAATAGGAAGCATGTGTTGCACTAAAAATGTAAGTGTACGTGAAAGTAAGTACATATACATATCGATTCACATAAATAGTTTTAAAGTCCATATTGTATGCACTGATTTCTATTGTATTATATGTTTAGCGCACAAAACTAAAATAAAATGCATAGAAAAATAATATTTATTACACCAGCCTTCTTAGACTAAGCAAGTCAATTTATGCTCTACTAGTGACATTAAAATATACTTAAAAGCTATATGGCTCATACATATATACCTAGGTACGCTCCCTGTTGTCATATTATATTTGTCTGACCTAAATGTTAATTTTATATTAAAGTATTTGTAATCGCGACAATTTTAAAAATTTAGAAATAAATTCTTATACAAAACTACTTAGTCTGTTACTTAATTTTTTATATTACTAATACAAAGGTTTTATCTAAAAATTTACGGTTTAAACACATACACATATATGCAAATTGTACTTTATGATTTACTCTGAATAAAGGCAAAATGAAAGGCAGAAAGTTATTAACTACCAAGTGATTAGGTTATATATAATGGATTTTTATACAGTTTAAATTCGATTATCTTACAAAACTTGCAGCTAGTCTATAGACCTATGTGGGTTCGCTTAATATACGAGGTCTTAGAGATGCTTAAAGAGGAAAATCTTTTTAATCTTTGTGACTGAAGTAACTATGGAAAACAAGATTATTAAGGGTGTGATAAGGAATGGAAGTGTACTAATTTCAGTTGCATAATTTGTTGTTTAGAATGTGTTTATCGTGTGTAAATCAATGGAAATGTTTAAAAAGTTCTAGATCATCCTCTCGCAGATATGAAATGCATGCATTTCAATAATATTTAGCTCAAATGAATATTAAATTATAATTTATAGGCAGAAAATTACTTACTTCAACTTCAACCGTTTATATTTTTCTGTGTAGATGATCAAGTTTTGTATTGTACATGTTGCGTGTACGTATCTGAAAAAGATTTTAATAAACACCACGGCACACAACCGGAAATCTAATATTTATATTTTGCAGCGGATTCGCTCAATACCTTTTCCGCCAAGGATTTATCACGTAAAACTTGCGGTTATAGTACATTGTACTAAAATTACTTTGTATATCAATTTGCACGTATTTTATGCACTTTTTACTATATTATGATTCATGTGATACACATTTTTACACATTTTTGGTTATTCCGCGCTATGGTGGGAAATTTAGGAAGCGTGCATCGTACATACAAAATAGAGCACACTAGAACAACAATATTTTGCATTAAACGATGTGTTTTTGTAATAACATTATACACTTCTTATAACAATTTGCACTAATGAATTTTGTTAAATTTGTATAACATTTTTTCTGAATATATTGCAAATTCTTTCACTCTGCTATGTACATTACTGAAAACCAACGGCTTCCTACATGGTTGCACTTGGCTTTGCCAACTAATTGCTTATGGTAATTTCTTGTTTACATCCCACTGTGTTCTTGCTGGGAAATGCGGTGATACGAAAACTAAGTTAAATTGGCTTTTATTTACTTATAACATTGTATTGTAGAATTAATACAAATAGTATTAGTTGTGAAATGATGACTGAAAAACATGAAGTTCCATTTGTCAAGAAATATTGTCTGTGTTAACAGATGCATAATTTTTGCAACATTTTGGCAACGCGAAGCTGACAATAGTTCATGCACAGCGTCTTCCAATAAGTTAAATTTAAATATTGCAAAGGCAATTGTACATCTCTCATTTTTATTATTTATTGGAAAATTTTAAATTTCAATTTCATTGTATATTGTAAAAAAACAAAAAGCTATTTAACATGCTCTGCTGCCTTTGGTTCGAAGGGGCACTGGCGAATATTTAAATGCCACAATGACCACGGGTAGCTTGCAGTGAACTAATTCTTTGTTAGCATCATAGAATATATTATTCAATAGAGAGTCAATAAAAATAGCTAACCCATTTTCTTGCGCTTAAGTTATTCTTATTATCGAGCAGACAATCTTTAATATAAACTTTAAATAAATGCACCTGTCAAGTGATATAAAAGTTCCAATTCAAATGAAATGATGTTGCGACAAACTTATTACAACATTAAATATTAAAATAAAACAAAAAACAAAGTGATGGTTTTGTGTAATAAAAGTTTAAGTTTTATTTAGAAAAAAATTTATATCTACATAACTAATAATGTTTTGTAGTCGTTTGCTTGCATTTACTTTTAACTATTTAAAATTGCAAAAGTAAAACATAGAATTAATGTAGTTTGTTGTGTTTCTCATTTTTTTCATATAATGTATAAAAAAATATTTAATACAAACAAAATAATAATTAATGCGCAGTGTTGTTGCTGTGATTGCCACTTACATATACTCAGGCCTTAATATAGAATTCATTAAAATTATGCTTAAATATTTATATAAAACAAAAAATAACCAAACAAAAACTACAGGGCACTTATAGTTTAAATCATTTAAATGAGAAGGACGAAAATGATATATGATATATGAATATATTTACTGCAGATGTACATATTTATGCATATTGCTGATTTATAAAATGATCATATATATTTATAGTAAGTATACATGTATGCACGTATGTATGTATATTTAATGAGTGAAATATGTTTATGTGCTGATTAACACACATTGTTTAGATTTAAACATTATATACATTATTATTAAGGCTAGGTCAGTTATGAAAGTCAACGCATTCATGATTTGGAAGATGTCGAAAGGGAGAACCTAAAAACAAATGTACATATGCATATAAGTGATATATGCAACAAAAAAAAAAACAGTGAAAATTATGTTGTGGTTGAGGTGAAACCTTAGGTTCATTACAAAGTGTTCAATGAAAATACATTTAAGTCTACAAAATTTTACAACATTTTTAATGAGACGCAATGAAATAAATATTTTTTACGAGTTTGTGAATAATGAAGGCAAACGCTGATACTTAGTGTATGATTTGTCAAGAGATTCTATTGGATTATACATATATACTCGTTTATTTATATATATGACTTTGAGTGTACATAATAAAATTTTATTTAGTGTTAATTAAAATGCTATTTTGAAATTTAAAACTCAAATGGCTGGAAGGATATAAAATATGTGCATTTGTTATTGCTACTGCTAATGTTTTAATAGTGGTCCATATAATCTTGTTAGCATTTGAGGTTTAGTTTTATGAGCGGAGCGTATGCGTAGGAATTCGTGTTGTGGCATAATGTAATTTATTTCTACTACGTTAATTATTCGTGCACTTATTTACATTTGTTTTTTATTTATTTATTTTATTAAATTTTTTGATCGAGAAGTGTTTTGTTTTTTTACTTTTCAATATTTAGTTTTTTTTTTTTACGTTACGAGTTGAGATGGGCGCTAAGTTTGCTAATATATTCGCTAATGCTATGTACCGTAGATGTATATATGTAATTTACTTATATTATATACATATGTATGTATGTTTTAAGTGTAACAGTTTTAACAATTGAGATTTATAGTGGTTGTTTTGTTCTTTAATTTACGGCCGTATGCGACGATTTTAAGTAAAATGAACTGCTAGGCAAGTGTATCATTAAAAAGAATATTTTTTTTAGTTGCAAAAAAAAATTAAAATACTTTTTACATAAATTCTATAGCAAATTACAAAGTAAAAATTTTTTTTTGTTATCTAACAACTTTAAAACAAAGATATTGCATAACGTATAAAATCGATAATCGATCGATAAATTTATTTCTCTCACTGTAATGTATTTTTAAATAAAATAAATACGTTGCTTCAAATTTATTTAGCGCATTTTTTTTTAATTTTTAGGTTTTTCGTATTTAGTAATTTTAATGTGTTTTTCGAATATACATATGTACGAGTATGTATGAATACTTGTTTTATTTGTTCACGGCTAAATTTCCACTATTTAGTTATGTTTTTTATGTCAGTGTTGCATTTTTGAATTGATGCGTTTTACTACACATGTGGTTATGTTTCTAATATTCATTATTATTTTTAATGCCTTCTTGACCTTAAATGCTTGCAGTTTTTCATTTAAATTTACAATATTTAAGGTTGTTTTTAATTTTTCTTGCTGATATTGCAATGTTAGATTTGTCTGTGGCATGATCACGTGATGTTTGTATGTATGTATGTAAGTAAGCTTGTAAATAATGTTTTTTTCTTCACTTTACTAAAATTATTTATGTATATAAATGTATGCATGTATAGCTAAAACTGGTAACTATTTTTCATAAAACACAAATTATGAAAGAGTTTCTGCTAAACTATTTTTTATAAAACAACAAAACATTTTATTTTTTTATTTTTTATTCTTATGCTTTTTTTTTAATAAGTAGCAGGAAAACCTATAAGCTAATCGTGCTACGATTACTTTTTAAAATTATATAAACAATTTGTATTATTATTATTATTTTAAATAATAATTTTTACTTCCATCATATAAATTAAATATGTAAATATGTTTCTGTTGCTTAAAAACTATTCACGCTAGGTTTAGAAAACGTATAGTAATCATATTGTTATTTGTTGTTGTTGTTGTTGTTTTCACTTCTTATTTTCACATACATAAATCTCTTTTTGCAAACTGTGTGTTTGGTCAAGCGTTCCCCCATAGCTCCACAGCCCTCTCTACTCTACTCTGCTCTTCCTTTCTTCTCTCTTTCCCCCCTTCACTTTCCTGTGTATGTATTTTCGTCTTTTGCGGCAATTTCACTTTCAAAACGTTTATCCTTATTACGCTTCGTATTTATGTTTTAACTTTTCCTTTTGGATTAACTTGCGTCACAGTCTATTCGTCCGTCCTTCACAGATCATCCTCTGTCTTGGGTATATCGAATATCTCTGCAAAGAGTGGTGGCAATCGCAGTTTGGTCCAATTCATTCGTAACCAGTCTAAATGTGAGAAATGCTTGGCGCCCAACGAACGTAATTCGGGTATTTTAGCCTCGAGTGCTGGCATCAGTTGTAGCGCTTGTGTGGAACCGGCACGTGAGCGGACAAGTTGTACACGCAGTGCTTCGGCGACGCGTTCGCGTGATCGTGAAATCATTTTCGGTTCAGCGAGGCCGGAACGATCGGATGCGAGCAATACCATGGCGGAGAAGAGACCGATTTCGGTATCACTTAAACCGTAACTGTTGAGGGTGTTGGCGAAATTCACTAGTGAGATGACGAAGTCGTTCTGGAAGAGAATACAAATTTTTTGCATTAAATTCGATTTGGTTTTTGTAATTAAAATAAAGTAATGAAATCATAAAATATTATAATTATATATAAAATAAATAACGGTTAAATAAAATACGATTCAAAGGTCCAAATTCCAAATAATGCGAGAACTTCGAATTTTAATTAAACGAGCACTCCGACCGAAGCTTTAGAAAGTTGTTGTTTAAAAAACCTAATTACGTTGATGCTCCGCATTTTCGGAACTCCTTTTGTATTAGTTATTTTGAAGATTATAAGCTTGTTGTTGTTGTTGGCGTAGCGGCAGAAAACATTCTTGAAATAAATTTGAAGAATGTTGCCGAGTTGGCAGCCCTTGGCTGAATAAAAATCCGGGTACATTCCGGTTACGTAGACCCGACAGTCGTAGGAATGGCAGACTAAAAGCCTCTGTATGTTCGGTATCTTTAGCAGAAGACATTTTTACTATCGGAGTTCACAGTTTCGAAGAATACTGCGAAGTTCCGATCTAAAGGAGAACACTACGGATATGATTATAAAAATTTAAAATTAAAAATATTTAAACGTGTTGACACTTTGAACGTGTTGGCACGAAGCACAATTCCTATCCCAAACATAAAATTCGTCAGTAAGTGAGGCAGTCTAACTTGGTCGTATTTGGGTTCTGCGTCGAAAAAGCACTTGACTGGATAAAGAAATTGAATCGGATCCAATGGCATCGGAACCTGTTTAAATGCTTTGCTGCAGATCATAGTTAAGATTCGTTTATACAAGATTTCGAGTTTTTCATTGACTCCAAGGTCCCAGGGAGATATCGGTCACTGTCTTAACTAGAGACCCATGAAAGTAAGTAATTTGAAATTTACGCCTAGCCTGCTACATTCATATGTATAATTATTTGAGGCCCTATCAAAAATTATTGTTCATTATTGTTGTTTACAATTATTATGCCACGCCCTCTGAAAAAAGTAGCTGACAAACTATTCGGAATATGCGAGTTGACTTACATCATAGAGAATTTCCAGTTGTTGTCGTGTCAGATAAGTGCCATCGTCGAATGTCAATGTTGCATCATTGATCATACGTGCCACATGGCTGAGCCACACCTCGAAGAAGCCCAATTTGATGAGTATCAGCTGATCGTCTTGTGTGAAATCACAAAAGCCCGGTACACGCTTCGCAAATTCGACGATACGTTGCACGCCGGGCGTGACGCGCCCCGCATACTGTTGCCACAGCCAAATTTTCTGAAATTCCATTGTTTCCGATACTGAAGTGGCAATCTAGAAACAAAAGCAAATACAACAAGTAATTAGTGGACTGAAGTGAGCGTGGAACAGTTTGTGCATAATTGAGGGAAAATGGGTCAAAGGGGAATGGGGGAAGGTACACACATTAAAATTGGTTTATGATTATGCTGGTTTAATGACTGTTAGGCAGCTTTTATGGGTCAATGCTTGAACTACAACTTGTACATGACAACGGCGGGTGATGATGAGTGATTTGTATGCGTCACTGGAAGTGTGAATTTAGTGGTGGTTTATGTAAAATTAAATCAATTTAGCGGACATGGAATTTGCATAACGGTATATGTATATAGCACAACAAGAACGTTTACCTACATAGCATGTACTTACTCCATTCTGCGGCACCGACACCGGTCGCCGCATCAATTCGCGTGTCTGCTCCTCCGTGTATGAGCAGTGCATGCGATGCGCCTGTGAGACGCACATAATCACATCGTAAACGGTCAGTTCGGCGGTAGGGCCTTGCATATCGACAACACCGCAACCGTTATTATCGACGCTGGTAATGCCAACATTACCGCCACCGCCACCACCACCACTGCCACCGTTACCGACCACACTCATACCGCCGACGCCGACGCCAACGCTAACATTGCCGCATTGTCCCATCATGCCGCCAGCACCGCCGGCACCTACGCTGACACTCATATTAACGCCCACACCCATACCACCAACACCGCCCGGTCCCGGTGTGTTGGCTGTGTTGGCGACACTACTTTGGCCCGTACAGCCCAATTCGGAGGGTGACGAGGCGACTGAACACATTTGTGGCGTTTGCGGTGTATTCGGTGTATTCACACGCACAATGACGTTCGGATCATCCGTGGACGAAGGTGTGCCATTCAGCTCACGTGAACGTTTCGGTACGCGACCATAACGAACAGCTGGAAGTAAATAAAAAAATACAGAAAATGGAAAATTAGTTGTTGGATTCAAAACGTGAACTATGTAGATGTATATGATGTATATGGTACATAACGATTTTTAGTACAACTCAGTTAAATATTGGAAAACTGGTGCTAAACATTTAAAAGCTAAAATTTCTTAGAAAGGTAGTATATTTTCTCTACATGTAACAGTAAATTGCATTCCAATTGCACGATCAGATAAAAAAATTGAACTTAAGTTCAGAATCGCAGTACTGCCTAAAGTACATAGCTCTTTAAGTTAAAAATAGTGTCAGTTTTATATTTTCTGCCAAAAATAGTTGATCATCAGATGTAATATATTTTTTGCCATCAAGATTTTCGTATTTTGGCATTCGCTTAAAATAAATTATATTTCAATTTCAGTATGTAACTACAATGCGAAGACGCACAACGAAATCTCAGAGAATTCTCGACTTATGTGATTTTTAAATTAAAATTAACCTTGTTCTCTTTTCTAGATGACGGTGATTTGCTTCAATGAATTTATAAATAGTTTTTTTTTTTTGATTTTAAAGTGCATGGTTTTCGCATTATAATTACATTCGTTTCTTTATTAGCGGTTTACTCCAGATTAGCCAACCTTGAAGTGTAGAATTATTACTAAAACAGAAATGTGAAATAATTAGCAATGACTGTTATTATTTGGAACTTATTGCATTCGTCAATTACAGCTATGCCATACGTTTATACCCAACTCGAAAATTGCTGTTGTTGATGTAGCGACGGAGAACATCCCTGATGTAATTTGGAATATATACTGCCGCGTTGACAGCCCTTGTCGACTGTCGGGATTAGCGGTGGTACCACTTCAGATAATGTGACAAAAATCCATGAGCATGTATTGACAGATCGCGGACTAAAGATGCGCGAGATTGCTGAGGCAGTAGAAATCTCCAAAAACATGATGGATGGAGATATATTGGTCTTGAGAAAGTTTTCGGCAAGATGGTTGTCGTGTTTGCTGACTCGGAACAACAGCCGCAACCGCCTGTATAGTTTAACGCTGTTTAAGCGCAGTCGGTTCTGTCGGTTTTTGTGTCGTTTCGTGATAGTTGACGAAGCACGAATACACTGGTACATACCAGAGACCAATGAACAGTCCCAACAGTGGACTTCACCCGCCGATCCTGTCCCGAAGAAGCCGAATACTGCCCTATCGATTAGAGAGGTAATGGATACCGTTATCTGAGATTTACAAGATGTGATCTAGGTACATCGCCTAACAGAACAGCGAAACAGTTACACGGCCCAATTTCATATGCCGAATTTAGTGCCGATTCGACGATTCAAATTGCAAAGAAACAGCCCAATTGTTTCGAAAACTGTAAAATCATTCACAATCGGGAATGTTAATATTTTTATCTTTAAGCAAGAAATATGAATAACAATGCTTTTAGACTATTTTTATACCCTGATCAGGGTATATTAAGTTTGCCACAAAATTTGTAACCACCAGAAGGAACCGTCGCATAACCTATATATTATATATGTATACATATATTATATAAATGATCAGTGTAACAAGCTGAGTAGATTTAGCCATATCCGTCTGTCTTTCTGTCTTTATATACGCGAATTAGTCCCTCAGATTTCGAGATATCGATCTGTAATTTCCCAAACGTCTTTTTCTTTTCAAGAAGCTGCTCATTTGTCGGAACCACCAATATCAAACTACTATTACATATAGTTGCCATACAAACTGACCGATTCAAATCCAGTCCTTGTATGGAAAGCTTTTTTATTGGATAAGATATCTTCATTAAATTTGTCATGGATTATTATACAAAGATATGATACAATGTCCGAAAATATTATTCAGATTAGAGCAATATAGCCTATAGCTGCCACACAAATGTACCGATCAAAATCAAGATTAAGATCTTTATATACCCTTCACGCGCCGAAAAAGCCGATTATCGAAGCATAGTTTTTTTTTTCAAAATTTTCTCAACAGCCGAAATTGAGTAAAACTAACTGTAGAGTGTCCGAAATGGGAACAACAGAGGTCTAAACTAATAAAAAAAATTAATTTGAATACCAGAACACACACACACACGCTTCTGTATTGGCTTACGCATGAGATTACTAATTTTTGACAAAACAATAAATTATTGCCAACGATTTTTGTGGCGATTTTTTAATATCCACCATTTCTACACGCATTATTTTTATTAATATTCGCAACATTTTATGTTCATATGTATATGTGTGCGTTTAACCTACACCTACTCATAGAAATATATCAAAAAAGCTTAAAGGCTCAACATAAATGCTAATTTAACGAATTACGCGCGCGGGAAATTTATGCCGTCGAAATGCCACATTGTACGATAAATTTTTATTTACATATATACATATATGTATGTTTATGCTCATATATATATCTATAATATTTATATATATGTAAGTAAAGATTTATGGTAGCTGTTATAACACTTAAAGATTTCATGAGGCAAGAGCATTCATTCAGCGCTTTCTTATGCTATATGCAACAGCAACAAAACAAGCGTTTGAAACTTTTGAAGACTTTTGGAAGATGATGATACATCGGACAAAAATTGCTCTTTGTGCGCGTCAATTGGATTTTTACTGTCAAATATTGTTTTTTATGCTTTGTTTTTATTTTTTTTCTATTGCTCATATGTCTGTATGTATATAGGTTTGTGCATCTAAACTACTTGTATAAATATCTAGTGACACTTAGTTGCGCCTTGGTAGTAGCGCTCTTTTGTTGTTGCTGCTTGTTGTTTCTTCTGTGTATCAGCCTGTTGCTTTCATGTTTTTGTGGGTTGTCAACGACACTTTTATTTGTTAACAATTAAATTTCTCGTAGTTCAATACACTTTGTTAATATGCCAGCGAGCAAAAGCTTGAGCAAGCAATTGGGTGGCAAGTCTACACATACATATACATACACACATATACATATGTATATATACATACACAAAAATAGTTTGTTTTGTTGTATTCTAAGCTAGTGCATTTATTTATGTCAGCATACATCTACATATGTACATAGCCTGTGTGTGGGTGTGCTTAGTTGAGTGTTTTGCGCTATTAACCGCATTTATTTATAACATAAAATTTTATGCTCATTAATGACTGTCTCTTAGCGAGCGCGTGTTTTTATCGATTTGCTATCAAAGCGCGCCGCCTGAAATGGGTGTCGGGGCGTATGAGTAATCAATTATGGAATTATTTGTAGTGCGCTCAAATTTCATTCATTTAGTGAAAAAAAAACTAATTGCTAACGCAATTTATTTAAATTTATGATAATATTTGAAGTATTTTTTGTTTTTAATTTTTTCACTTAACATTAAAAATTGCTTTCAATTACTCAAAGTACAAAGGATTTGTGGTTTTATTGTTTGACATAAACTTACCATGCATAAAAAACACAATAAAAAATAAATGAAAACATAGACTAAAAAATTATGAAAAGACATTGAGAAAAAATTATAAAAAAGTTTAAATAATAAAATTATTTAAAAAAATAAGGAAAGTTATTATAAATAACAGTAATAAAACAGGTAGAAACAGTATTATAAAGCAAATAATAATTAAAAAAATATTTATATTATATTTAATTTGAAACTAAAGTCATAAAAAACTAAAAAAATTTTGAAATTTCAAAATAAAGTAAACAAGCTAAAATATTTGTATTTTCATATTTGTGTGTTTTCAAACGTAATTTTAGTCAAATTCTTTACTTAAATGCCAGGCTATTTGGCTGTCTTCCGCTTTCGAAAGTAAAAGTGTGCTCGCTAAAAATTATAATAAAATATTGAAAAAGATGTAAAAAAGATGTTATAAAAAAATTACAAAAACATTTCTAAAAAACCATTATAAAAAAAAATATATATAATAATATATTATTATTAACAATTACAAAATTTAAAAACAAATTATCAAAAATATATCTAAGAAAAATTAAAAAAAATGTAATAATTATAAAAAAATATTAAAAAAGAAATTAAAAAAGTTAAATATTTGTTTTATTCCACATTTTTCTTTTCAAAAGTAATTTTAGCTAAATTCTTCCGTTTCCGAAAGTAAAACTGGCATTTTAAAAATTTAAAATTAATTTAAAAACTTAAACAAAAAAAAATTTTTTTATATGTAAAAAAATTTTAAAAAAATGTTTAAAAAATAATAAAAAAAAATTAAAAAAGTTATATATTTTTATTTTCCCCAAATTACTTTAAAGTAATTTTAACCAAATTCCCTACTTAAATGCAAAACTATTTGGCTGCCGTTTCGTTTTCGAAAGTAAAAGTGTGCGCCAGGCCGCATGCCAATTTGTGCGAAATACGCTATTTTATTGCTGTCAACTCATTTACACGCTTGGCAAGCAGCAAATAATTGGTTTCCTTTTCTTTTACAAAAATATTTTAAATATTAATGGCTTAGTGATTATTATGTAATAATGCATTTTTTTCACATAGAGTTCCAAATAATTATTCTGAGAAGTATTTGCGTATTTATATTCTATTTTTAAACATATATACATACCTACATCTTAGTATGTAAAAGTTTCTTTTGAATAATTACTGTATTAGTATATACATACATACATATATTGTACTATACCATACATGAGAACAGAGTTTGTGTTATAAATACGGATTCTTTGGGTTGCTTAGCAAATACTCAAGTTATTTATGAGTATACAGTTTTGGCTCAGTTACAGGACGAATAATATATATTTTTTTAAATTTTTGTAGTTGGTATCTAAGAAATTTGGTAACTTTGGAGGAGTTTTGTTTTGGTACCATTTTGGTTGTACAGGAGGAGCAGAAGGAGGTGTGGAATTTGCTCTCACAATTGTCCTAATTACTATACGATTTTACATGAAGCCGATAAAAGTTCGATAAATCTTATAGCTTTCGTTATACAATGCAATCGTTATATATTATTAGATATACTTGTAGAATAAGTTATAGCTTTTTCAGACA